ATTATTCCCCGTTTATTTTCTTTTTTTTTTATAATAATATATTCTCTATATAATCTTTCGAAACCTAACGCACCCCTTTTAGTTAATTAAAGGCATCAACTTCTAACTAATACCCGATATTACGAATAAAATTAAGAAATGAAGATATAATTAAAGTTACTTTTAAAGGGATGACAAAGTGAATAATTAGCAGTAGTAATAGCGGTGGTGGTGTGGTACTAATAGAAATCGTAGTACTAGTAATAGTGGTAGTAATAATAGTTATTATAATAATAATCATCATTAATTACATAAGAAATAATAAACGTATAAACTAATGATAATCGTAATTTATGGAAAGTGAAGAAAATAAAAATTAATATGAACCCTATAATTTGTTTCATACATATGTGCGCATACATTTGTATAAAAAAAAAAAAAAAAGAAATATATAGACCAAAAAGTTTTTCAGTAAACGGTCGCAAACATTAAACGTGACAAACAAAAATAAAGTGGAACGTTTGATTGAATCTAACAAAATAATTGTGCTTCCTTAAATATTAAAAACATTTTCGAATTATAAGTAGATAATTTGTAAAGCTTCCAGAAAACAGAAAAAAAGGAAAACAAAAATATTTCTACATACATATATTATTGTTTCGTGAAATATTTTTCGTTCAAAATATTTGGTGCTTAGATCTTAATACAATTGTGCATAAATCATTACGAAAATATAGGCGACCTTAAATTGAGAGCCTTCATATATTATTCCGATAAAATCTCGCACGCATGTTCGTTAGATCTATGTACAGTAGAACCTTTATTATCAGAAGCAAAATATAAAGACAAAATTTCGAATGCTAAAACAAACAAACTCTCTCTCTTTCTCTCTTCGAACATCAAACATAACAATAGCATATATCACAATATCTATTGAATAATAAATAATCAATCTTTCCTAATGCACCATTATATATACCATATCGCATATTATTTATATTATATATGTAATCTATACACATAATTACGCGTATAATCATATAATATATACATATATAACCATTTTTAAATGAAAAGATAGATCGAAGTATATAAAGATGCGTAGATGATCTAATCCCAATCTTTTTTTTTTTACGTCTTTCCTTTCTATGTATAGTGTATTTTTTCAACACATTTCTTTCACAAGTTCTATGTACATACAATAAAGATTTAATAATGTCTAAATTTAATTATGCAGCCTGGATAATGAAGGTTCTGCCGTTTTTTTTCAGATTTCTCCCTAAGAAACTTAACAACTTTTTCAACAGTTGTTCCATGTTAGTTCCTTATAGGCAATTTTTATTTATATCACACGAAACAATATCAACGCGGAAGACGAGAATACTGTTCTTTATTTATTAACTCCTTTTTTTTTTTTTTTTTTTTTTTTTTTTTTTTTTATATTTTTTTTTCCTTTTTTTCGGTACTTTCTCTCTTTCTCTTTCCCTCTCTTCTTCTTTGTTTTTGTCCGAAAAAGCTCAAATATAACGTATTTGCAAAGTAAACGTAAAAC